AGCGTAAGTTTTAGGAGGTGTATTCGCCAAGCAGCTCTGAGAGTGGTTCAATAAATACAAGCATTTATGGAAGACGGTATGTAAACAAGATGGTAAACTGTTCGCTGCTTGCGTTATTGCATTTTCTCATCCTCTACTGGCTGTTTGTTCTACCTTGAAAGGGCTTCCATACCAGCCTGGATGAAAATCTTTTGAGTATGGCTCGGTTGCTAGGATAGTAAATGATGGGCAACTGGTTTGTTACAAATGGAGATGTGAGACGACTTGGTCACTCTTGATGTTACCGTTTGCTCAGTTACGTGTAGGTCTTCGCAATGAGAAAATCGTATACTTCAGCAGGTTACTGGCTTTGTCGCTTGAATGTGGCGATATTACATTTGATGTGATGTCTCTTTGTGAGTTCGAGTAATGTGTTTTTACAAATCACTAGAGCGACGTTTGTTGCTGCCAAAAACTGGTTTGAAGCCAGTCAAAACTTCTTGTGGTTTTGAGTGCATCGTTATCTGGTTGTAAAAAAAAAGCACTTTTTCATGTGTTCGAGCCATTCCTTTTATAAAGAACATGTTAACGTAATCGAAGTGTTTGGGGCTAAGATTTGCAGTTGCTTCTCCCGCACATTGCTCAGTAGCGGTCTCCTTCTTAGAACAGTTGATTTATCGATGGTCCTTTGAATTTCATTTGTTCAAACGCATAGATTTCCTTCAAGTGGAGCTTCCGCCTTGTATATACCATGACTGAAGCATGGTTCTTTCTTTTTGCCCTTCTCTTCCTATCAAGAAATAAATTGCCACCTACGGTTTTATTTTTTAGAAAGTCCGACAGTAATAATTTCATATCGTTTCTATGAGTGCTGCACAAGTTGTTGAAATTGAAATTACTTTTTAGAACTGATAGAAATCACCTTGGAACCCTGTTGCATTTTTCACTTATTTATTGAAATTGACTCCTGTTTGTCTTGCATTGAAAGTTAATGTTTACATCAAATGTCTTTTGAGTTATTCTTATTAATATCAAAAAATGGGATATCATCAGCAGTATCATGGTCGAAACTTGCCTTCTGTTTGTCGCTTCGAAGCAAAATATAAAGATTGGGTTTTCTTATAACTGGGGTTGGATGTGCATATTTTGAGTAGAACATATCGCGGAAGAATTCACTGCTAATTTGTGACATGCACTGCTCGGCAATTATATGTATGACATTCAATAGCAAAACGTGACATTTATGTGAATAATCGCATTTCCTCTTTGACTGATGACTCTTTGAGAATGGCGTTGTCGCTTAGATGCTCTGATCATATTTGAACACCAAGATCTTTGAGGGGTAAAAACATGAAAGGTTTTCGATGCTGATGAGGATGGAGATCGACCAAAAGTGTATACCACACGTGAAAAATGGAAAGGCATGTATTACAGTCGCTGTTAAGCTGTGTGGATTCTCTGAGATTACGGCAAGTAGTTGGTGACCAAGAAATCTTCAGCGACCCCAAGATGGGTGATTTACATGCATGCTCGTTAGCGTCGCCAAACCTATGTTGCGTATCGCGCATAGGGCTGTATAGTTGGTAGCCCTGGCGAGGGCAACACCGATCGGACGCTCAAAAGATGACTCTTCATGTCTGCTCATGAGTTCCTCCCGCTCTTGTCATCCAACACAGTTGGAAGCTATAATTTGCATTTGAAGCATATCGAAAAACGAAATGCAGCGGGAAATCATGCAATGTTAGTGAAATGTCAATGTGTCAGCATTGTGAAAAGGTGAGAGCAATTGAAGGGCGCATCTTCATCGATTTGCCGATCAGGTCCTAGCGATTTATGGGTTTCACTAAATTGAATGCTCGACCATTAAGTGGTCTTTATCAGATCAATGGCACCAGCAAACAACCAGCGTCTCTTGCTTGTCTGTATTTCACCGCTGTTCGCTGTTTTCGAGATTGCATGAGCTCATTTTTACGATTATAATTCTAATTGCTTCAAGTGAAGTGGCATTTACCTTAACACTGTCAAGGTTCATCATATCTACATTATTACGATTTGAGGATTTCTAGGGTGAACTCAATTGTAAATTTATGTTGATGGAGCTGGACCATTTCTGTTGTGGTCTTAGCCTGCTTTTTAAATGTAATCTCATTTTTTGCCACTAAGAACTTGCGGTCTGCAGCTTTTCGTTCAGTTCTCCCATTCGCGCGGGCAGATTAGCGTTGTTTCAGAAACTTTCTCGTTTTGGGTAGGCTAGTTGCGGGTTTCGTCAATGCTGCAAGCCGTACAACAAGCCAGAGCCGACTGCATAGTGAGTCCAACTTTGTAGGCACGGTAGTTTGTCATCGCACATTCCAAGCACAAATGCTGGGAGTTTGAGTTGAACACCGTGTGAAATGTCGTGACGTGCTGGTAATGTGGTGCTCAGTTTTTTTTAAATAATTCAAAGCACTACCTAGATTGTAAGCCTGCTGATGGGTAACTCGTCCCCGAGTCCTCGTAGACCCGGACGCTCGATTCTAGGGTGACGTTTCGGCTCTGCCTTTCACTGAACGACTCGCCCTACTCACCCACGCTCGCTGATTCAGTAAAACAAATTTCCTCCGAGCAATCAACTGAACGCCTTAACGACGCATGTCTGGCTCTATTCTTTGCATTCGCAATGCATTGCGAGACCTTTTCCTGATTAAGGCTTTTCAATGTAGCATTGTACCTTTTTAGCCCACCTGCACTGCTACTCAATGATCCCGTTAAATCTTTTCATTCAAATGAAAATATAGTTCCGAACGATTGTGCCCTCTACACATCTTGTTGTCTTTCCTTTCTCTCGCACTCCTCAGAATGATCCATCTCCTTCACTCAGCAGTGAAATGCTTTATGGACTGTTCAGGTGAATTTCGGAATTCCATCTATACCGCGTTTCGTTTGAAATTCCTTGTTAGCGTCGGCGTCATTCCTTTCCTTTGTTGATGATGACATTTTGGACGCGATTATTTCGCCCTGAATGGAGAAGTTTTGTCGCGATGCTAGACATCCCTTGTTTGTTCTCTTCTCTCTCGAGTTCCTGAGATTCTTCTGTGCCAATTGTACTATGGTTAAGTCGCTCTCTTCGATATAACAATATCTTCTTATGACTTCACTTTCAGGAGCATGTGAATGCGCCTTGTACGGCAGAAAGTAAAAGTGCAGAAAAGGGTTCAAAGTCAACGACGTCCAGTTCAAGCACCAAGAAATCTCTAAAATCTCCAGCTATCAGCTCCACAAAGGTGTGGTGTAATAATTGCAGTGGCTATCCAGTGAGGCATGGCGGCACGTTTGTTAATGAATGTGGGCTTCGTTTCTTTTACGCGGGCTGGATAGATGCTTTCCAACATGATGTGTCTGAGATGATGTTTTGAGAGTTCTGAGAAAAAGCTTCGATCGAATTAAAAAAGGACCTCGCTTTCACACAACCATAGTTAGAAAAAAGGTGCCAATTTGGGACTTACCCTCTAACCTGATTCAAGGGTTTCGGTCGTGTATCGAAATTTTAAATCGTGGTCACGTCGGTGATTGGCATTGCATACAGCCTGTTTCATTTTCGTGGTGTCGGCGTTTTTTAATGGCAGTCCATTATTTCAGGACAGCATTGCTAATCACAGGATTTTAGACTGATGGAGCGGGCAGTGTCAGGTTATAGATGAAAGGGCTGGAAATCTACTATTGTTAGCTTCCTTCCTTTGGATGTATCTCGTTAGCTTTCCCTTTGTACCGGTTTTTTATAGATCGCTCATTGCTTTTGAGTATTGCTCAACTGAAGCTGAAACGGCTGAGCATCTATTCCGTAAATCTCCTGAATGACCATTTCCCCCAGTTAGTAAGGCAGAAATTGTATCTTACAATGTAGCCTTCCATTTTATTGATTCAAAGTGCTGTCACAACCGCTGCGTGGGGAAATTTTGTGGTGCATTCCTTTTCGATGTTGGATTGATCCATTCCTGCTTGTCTGAAAGAAATTTGATAGAATGGTGTTCTTTCTGGTGTCTCTCTTCGTATGGTAGCTCTCAGCAAACTTTCCATAATTCCTGTGATTTTAGCCAGTTCTGTCTTCACCACGTGTTCCTTCAACAATGAATAACGGAGCACAACAAGCATCATCGGGAGCGGCTACTGCGCAGTCAAGTCGTCATTCCTCGACAGCTCAGCCTCCTCATTCCTCGGGTCGATCCCATCACTCGGGAACTGGGTATGTTTTTGCTTTCGGTGGTGATGTGTTTATGGCTGATTTTAGGTGAGCGGTTCGTTTACTCATCACTAAAGTTAATAAGATATCATTTTTCGATTCTTTATGAAAATACCCTGTTGTGAAGTGAGTGCACATTCTTGTGTGATGTTACACGAAACCTCCTCTATACTGCTAGAGCTGCTTTTGTTGGGGTGTCAACTGTAGACATACATTCTGGTTTCTTTCTTCTTGTATGTCACAGAAACTTCTAGTTTGATTTAAATGGGCGGCTTTATTTTCATGTTTTCATCGATGTGCGCTCATCTGGCACTGTTCATGAAGCTGGGCGTAAGCTGTAAACCAAGCAGTGCATTAGACAAAACATACACAAGAGTTGTCGATATCATCTAGTTGACTCTGCCCGTTATCCCCCTCCGAGCGGCGCATTACTTCACTTTCTCCTATTATTCCTTTATGAATGGCGATGATTGCTAATCTTGCTCGGGTGAAGAAAACAGTTCTCATTCCAAATGGGTCAGTGCTAAGTAACTTAATCAACCTGATTGTTCGTCTTCACTTTTTCATGGTGTTATAGTGAGCAGCTCATTAACCTAATGTCCACGTACTTTGGACGAGTGGTAATTCTTGGAAACTTATGAAAATTTGTTGTTCGTTCATTACATCTTATTATACCGAGTCCAGATAAGGAAAGGATCTGAACCTGGAAATCTTTCACTTACCCTCCTACCTTCCCTTCTTGAAAAGTCGTTCCCCATTCAGGTCGTCTCAACATGCCTCCCACCTGCGGCCGTCGGGAGGCATGGGATCGTCAAGCCGATCTGGAGGACGGCGTCCACCTGATGATCCACACGTTGGAAAGTACAAATTGCTCAAAACCATCGGCAAAGGAAATTTCGCTAAGGTGCTCCGCTGCGGACTCTTCATATTATGCTGTTCCGATTGATCCTTATGATTAAGGTAAAATTAGCCAAACATACAATTACGGGTCAAGAAGTTGCTATAAAAATCATCGATAAGACTGCGTTGAATCCAAGCAGTTTGCAAAAGGTTGGTTTCAAGAAATTCACATGTTGTAATCTTTAATATTTTTTTCTCGCACAATGTAATTGTTTGGCACACAAGCCTTTATCAGACCTAGTAAATATGCCCATAATTACATTTGTTTACCTTCTAGTTGTAAAGGGCTGTGCAAAATTTCGACCAACGAGACTGCTCTGGCTTAATAGTGAGAGCAATGGTCTCGTAGATTCTGAGGTTCATATCATATTCCCATCACCACTGACACTGTTCTGAATGACTCACTTTTTTCAAAGCTACTTAGGTACAATTGATCAGTTGCGAGAAACGGGTTCTTGCATAGGCAGTCTTGACGGGTTACTATGACGGAGTTTCGGAAAGTTGGAGAAAAGGGTATACGTTGTAGGGAAGCTGTTGTTTTCGTTTTTGTTTACCAAGTGTAGTGACGCCAGCGGTGTCTTGCATAACGTGCAGTCGCTATCGATTTTCGTAATGAGTAAGGCTTTGTGTCGTTTTGAGTGAAGTAAAGAAAATTCGACTTGCGAAGCGTCAGGTCTTCTAATGAAGCCGTAGTAGTGAGAATTGGTCATTGGATTCATTGCATGGGCAAGTGTTGATATATTTTCAGCTATTCCGTGAAGTCAAAATAATGAAGCAGCTTGATCATCCCAATATCGTTAAGTTATATCAAGTTATGGAAAACGAGCAAACGTTATACCTGGTTCTAGAATATGCATCCGGTGGTGAAGTGAGTTTTTGTCTTGGCCGTTTGCTTATTATTTCTTCCACTGTGATAGACGAAATTCCTCAATAATCTATAATTATTTTGTTGGGGATAATAATTTTTAGAGAAGGAAATTTAAGATGAAAATGTGAAGTAATCATATGCAATGGAAGTAGGATGGGTTCATCGTGGAGTTTCGGGTCTTTTGTTAGACTAACTCCAAACAAATTTTTTGAAGGGCTAGGTAAATTTCATTGCAGTCCTCGGTTTCCAAAGCGAAGTGCCCCTTTCTAGGGTTTCGCGAGTTCCCAGGGAAAGGCATGACGTCGAGGAAAATTGTTCATCAATGTGTCCTTTTCGATATTCCACCCTTACGACCTCCCTTCTGCTACCCAGAAGCGGTTCTTGCAAATCTCATACCTTCTCCACCCTTAGTATATGTCTTCACTTTTTCACTGTTTTACAGTGACAATGGGCGACCGTAAAAATGAATTGAGATCTCTTCTAAGAGAGAGGCGCAATTACGTCTTCTTTTTTTGTTGAGAGTCTTCGACATATGTTTGGTACTGCTTTTCGCGAGTATTGCTAGTCCTCGTATAATGCAAGTGGTTTCGAGCATATTCAATTTTAAAATTATCACAGCAGCTCTTTCAAGTTTCAGAGCCGGCTGTATAAAGCCGACTCTGTAATTCGAACTTATATGGGAAAAAAAATCCAAAGTGTCTTGTAGGAAGAATGACTTTGGTTATACTTAAGGTCTTTGATTACTTGGTTGCGCATGGCAGAATGAAGGAAAAGGAAGCTCGAGTGAAATTCAGACAGATAGTCTCGGCGGTACAATATCTGCACTCGAAAAATATTATACACCGGTATTTGTCGTTCCTTATTAGTATTTTAAATTCAATACTTTTCCCACACCATCTTTCAAACGTTTCTCTTGCAGAGACTTGAAGGCAGAGAACCTGTTATTAGATGCCGATATGAATATAAAAATTGCGGATTTTGGTTTTAGCAATCAGTTTACTTTAGGTTGGTGTTGTATATTTTCGATAATTATGTAATCTACTAACTGTTATAAAATTTATGACATTCAGGCAACAAATTGGACACTTTCTGTGGATCCCCACCTTACGCTGCCCCTGAACTTTTCCAAGGAAAGAAATACGATGGTCCCGAAGTTGATGTGTGGAGCCTTGGTGTAATTTTGTATACATTGGTATCAGGCAGTTTGCCTTTTGATGGTCAGAATTTGAAGGTGAGTATTCTCTTATTTTCTTCTTGCTTCAAAGAGTTGTAATATCTTATGGTCTTAAATCTCTGTGTTGTGATCTTTGGATAAGATACTTCAACCTTTCAGGAGCTTCGAGAACGTGTACTACGCGGGAAATATCGCATTCCGTTCTACATGTCAACGGACTGCGAAAATCTCCTCAAGAAGTTTCTCGTGCTGAACCCAGCCCGTCGAGGAACTCTGGAAACCATTATGAAAGACAGGTTCGATTGTCTGAGTTGTTAGAAACTTTCCGATTTCATGACTCTTGACGAAAGTTCAAATGTATGAGCGATGCTTTCTGATCAGTTGCCGACAACTGATCGGTCGAGATGTGACCGGGATCATAATAGCTGGTTCATAGATCTTAAAACTGTATACTCTTGTTCCTCTCTAACTAAAGCGTTCAAAGTTGAAGTGGATAGCTGATGGGGTGGACTGCAGATGGTGAAAGGACTCGAATTAACAATCAAGGAAAGGAATTGGTAAGGGGTGTTGCGTGCCGCCTGTGTTAACCTCAGGTAAGAAAACTGGTGAAGTAGACCCCTATCAAAGGTGATAAGGGATCTAACAATGTCATAGAGTTTGTCACGAGAGGCATATTTCGCCTTACAATTTAGATTTTCCCAAAATCGTAGCTGTTTCGTCAGCTTATACCCTGAAAGATGCTCCTACCTTTCACCTATAACTTGTAGGTAATAATACCAAGGGGCACACATAGGTCGGCACTGATCAGATACATTTTTGATCATTTGAGCGGTCTACTTGTGAGTTTCCATTACTTTGTTGTACTCATCGTGATACAGTTTTAGAATAAGTAGTTCATGCAGGTGGATGAACATCGGCTACGAAGACGAAGGCGAGTTGAAGCCTTATGTTGAACCACCAAAAGATCAAATTGATGAGGCGAGGATAGAAAAACTTATTCAGGTACGGAACTATCTCTACAATTTGTAATTTGTAGAGGTACATCTATAATGAACCTATTCAGCTCGGGTTCAACAAAGGCAGCATTCTAGACGCGTTAGAAAAGGAGAAGTTCGAGGATATCCATGCGACTTACTTGTTATTGGGTGAACGAAAGTGTGAGGTAGGACCATTGGATCATTCGAATTTTATAAGCATTCATTCTTTTGCTAACAGCGTGATGTTTTATAGTAATGCGATTTGCTATGACATGCATTCACAGAAACTTCCCAGTGTTACTAACCTCGCGCAATGTTGTTGTTTAGTGTACTCAGTACATCTACTTAACATTCGCGTGATATTACACGTGACAAATTTTGTAATAATATTTATTCGGGCAGAACTTACTAAGTATTAATCCTGTGCTGGGAGTCAGTGGAACCTTCCTCGCATAGCTTGTTCATAGATTCTAGAATGCACGCAATAAGATGGAGCTTGACAGCGATTTGATACCGTCTGGTTATCACCTCATGTATGTGTTTACTCGGTGTTTTGAATGTGAGCCTACAGATGGACGCTGGTGACCTAGCTCTGGCTCAACAGGCTGTCACACATTCGACGCACAACGTCTCCTCAGGTGTTGGATCGCATCCTGTTGGCTCCAACGCCACAGCAACAGCTACCTCGACTCATTCGGTAAGAGATTGATACTCTGTCCAACAAACGTGGTTCGTGTGTAATAAGGTGCATGAACTCGTTACATGTTTTTGTGGTTGCATGTGATTCTACCTAGTTAGTGTTCTCGTTCCTTTATCGCATGGTGTTCGAGTTCGCATCTCGAGAAATAATAGATTCCTAATTGATTCGACCGCGACACGCTCGCAGAAATAAAGAATCATGGTCAAACGATAACCAGACGAAAACACTATCTCAATCCAGCATATACTTGACATAAGAACTGGTATGGAATTGAATCGCTTCACAGTCTCCACTGAAATCAAGCCTTGGTTTGAACCCTAGTTCTGGCAAGCAAAGCCGTAATCAGAAGAACTAGCCTTTCATATGGGTGACCATTCGTTCTATCGTCAAGATAATGGGGCCAAGCGTGGCATGCGACGCCTTGGGTGGCAATTGTAATGTAGTAATTGGGGACAACTGAGTGCACTTTCTCCTATTGCAATAACATATACATTGAAAAATCAAGAAAATTTCTAAATATTGAAAGGGCAGGTAACATGTCTAAGGAATCAGCTTGCAACGAAAAGAAAACTTAAAAGAAACAGATTCTGAAAGTCCAAAAAGGCTTCGTATGCGACGTACTCATTATCCCGACGAACTTATCGCAAGACACACGTTCAAATTAACGGTACCGCCTGTGTAATGCTTTTTGTCCATGTTTTGGAGTAAATTTGGAGTAGGAAAAAAATAGTAGTCGATTTGGAAAGAAGTGATCATTTCTAGAAATAGGCTTATGCGTATCTTTCGTGATGATACCATCGAGTCATTTTTGCAAAGGTTATCCATATGTTGTGAGTCATTTTGAGACATTTCAAAGTTAAAATGCCACAGTAGTGAAGTTGTAGTGAAAAATCCAAGATCGCCTCCAACTTCACCCTACGTCTTCAAGTATTGTACAAGTGATCGGTTCGAGGTTGAGGTTGCATGCGACTATACTTATGAGACCAGCCAAGAATCAATGCTTTTAGCTTGAAAAAATTACAAACACGTTTTACTTTCCCTACCGAGTACAGCAATAATTTCATGCAACAACTTTTTCGATGTCAGACACAGTTGTGTTGTATTCACCGCGATGTGTAACTGGAAACTTTTTCAGTAGGCTTTACGAGTAAACTTGGCAGTTGGTAGTTACAAACTGTAATGTTGTTGAATTCTTTTTAGCCGTCGAAATACGCGAGGACTTCATCAGCCCAAACGGCCACCGTGGCAGGAACGTCTGTTAATTCGACACCTTTGCCGAAGCAGTCATCACGAAGGAGCAGCCAAAACGACGCAGCTGGAGGAAGCAGTCAACAACCGCCACCTCAACCACCATCATCGTCGTCTGCTCGCGCGCAGGTAAGTCACAGATGCGTTAGTCGAGAGTGGTCAGCTCAGCTCCGTTATTCATGTCCTTTCGGAACTGCTTCTTTGCTAGGTGCAACTGCGACAGCAACCGACGTCACGACATACTGCTATGAGCATGGTTCCGGCCTCTTATCAGAGTGGTTTGTTTTTGCTCTTCATATAGAAGGAAAACTGGTGCAGTTGTAGGACCTCTTTTTCCAGGTACAGGCGAAGGACATAGGGACTACTTGGCTTCGTTCACTCGCGGTGGAACGTCGTCAACTGTTACGTCAGGTTCACGAAAGTCGAGTGATCCAAAAGGACGAGTCCCGATAAATTTAGGGGTCCGAGCAGCAGGACAACGAGCAGAGTAGGTGTTTTGAACGATACTGCTTTATTTTTGTTAAGCAGCTGTTTGAGTATTCGTTGGTTTATCAGTGGTTCTTCATCTGCACGGACAGCGCATCCTACTTCTGGAATTTCGGCCACTTATCAAGTGCCCACATCGGCTTCCTTGGTTGGCAAGTTGCCCACGACAGGAAATGGCTCGGGAACGAGTTCTGGTGTTCCTTCTTTGAAGACTCCCGCTGCCATTGCACAAATCCCATTGCCTCTGCAAGTGAGCAATTCTTCTAGCATTGTGTGCTAGCATTGCGGAAGCATTCTGGTGTTTCAGAAGTCCGGATCACAGATTTCGCATACGCCTACTGAACCGGTCATAAAGGAGGATGAAGACGAAAGCAGTGAGTCCTCAACTGGCGCAACCAATGGGGTTGCAACGATCACCCACTTACCTCTCATTGGTGGGGCGCCTTTGGCTCAGGTCAGTTTTGGAGAAGTTCCTTTAAGATGCGGGAAGGCAAATATCCGTGATTGCAGAGTCCTCTTCCACCCGCTGAAGAAGGAGCTGTTGAAGCGAAACCGTCAGTATCCGTCACACCTGAAAGAGAACACAAGTAAGCTGCTTGTTTTCATATTGCGTTTTCGCAATCAATCGTGACTTTTGTGATTAGATCTGCTGGAGCCCTTCTCAAACTTGGGTCGCCTTGTTTCGTACACACAAAATTTGCCATTTTGATTTGTTAAGAGCAAGATTTGAACTCAGGGTGGCGTGGCACATATTTATTATTTTCAAGGGTAGGATAGTATTCTATGTAGATTATTCGATAAAATATGGTTTCTTTTTCTTCTTGTGACCTACGTCCTTGAGAGAACTGTTCCTTGTCAGCGAAAATGTGAAAGTACAAGTATGGGTTCAAGTTCCATCCGTAACTAGACGCATTCTATAGCTTACAATCTCAAAGCAGTCTCATGATCGTTTTGCCGTCTGGCCCTTGACCTAGTTATTAGTGGCATATGTGATAGCCGAAGGGGTCTCATGAAACTGATTTTTGCTGGCGCAGATTCAGGGGAAATAAGTGCTATTATCATAAGTGGATAAGGCTCGCTAGTTCGGCGAGGCTAGATGCTTCGCATTTGCATGTTTTTGTTGTTTGTCTTCACTCATCAGTTGCTTTGATACCAATATTTTTGATGGTATGAGCTATGGAAAATTTCTGCATTTTTGTAGTTTGTTGAATTGGTGCGGTATGAAGTGGCGATGTCCTCATTAAAGAAATCCCTCGTTGTTTTTTTAACCATCATCACCTCACATCCTTAGTTCTACTTTGTTAACAGCCTGATGCACCGCCACCACGGGCAAGCGACGATTTCTGAAGCGCTGCCGTCCAGCCGTGACTCTTGGATCACCCTACTTACTAACCTTCACATCTATGAGAAGGAGCAGCCATCGCTTGCGTATGAAACGCAGAATGTTTCCAACGAAGCCTCGGTGGCAAGTACTGCTTCTGGAACACCACCTCTAACTCGCCAGCGAGCTGCCACTGATGTGGAGGCTCCAACTAACACATCGCCATATTTCAAACGGACGATCTCTTTTCGAATGGTGCATAATATTTTATAGTTTATTCCTTTAATTTTTCGTTTTTGAAGTGCTTAGTATCCAGTGTTGTTTGTTGTGATGTGAAGACCTCAAAATTAGTCGGTTGCATATACATGGTTCTAAGAACTTCATTACTATTGCATATTAAGATCTAAAGTATTGTACGGCATTGCTCAAAAGTGAGAGGATTTGATGAAAAACGACTGTCAGTGTATTCATCATCATTATTTTAGGCCGTCACTAATTCATCAAAGTCCATCGATGCCACCAACGATGTTGAAAGCAATGGGAGAGCTGACAGTTCGTGGCTCACCATCGGCAACGGGGGAACGAGACTCTCCAAAAATGACCAAATCAGCTACCGGTAATACTCTAATTGCTACGCCACCTCCTTCCGCTGGTCTTCCTCCTGTATCAACTCCGTCTCAGGTGGGTTAATGTTCAAGTAAAGTCGGTCAGTGATGGAAATGTTACAAAATTAGGCCGTCGCGTTTCGCATTACA